GCGCATGTGCAGAAGCATTTTTTACCTACTGTACATGTGTGCGTGCAAAGCGCACGCGTGCCTGAAGTGCATCCCTGAGTAAACCAGCAGTAGAAGAAGCTGGAACCTACCCTTAGTTGGGACAACAGAGATAACAGATAACAGAGAATCTGGATAACAGAGAATCTCCACAGACATTTCATTCAGAGCTTCAGAAGTAGGTATAAGTAGTCTTCAACTTAGGACTGGTTCCTTAGTGATCCATCAAAGTCACAAAGAACCCACCAAATGTTACTTATGACCTGGATTTGAACAGCTGCTCCCCCTGCAGACATGTGACAATATTTTGGACACTCAATAACCAGCCCACAATGATAGCTGTTTGCAGTGTCTGATTGTCATGTCACTGTGATTGATGATGTTTTCCCAGAAGCCAACATTTACTTCCGGTTTCCTGCAAAAACTATTCAGTAGCAAACAATAGATTCAACTAATTACTGTGGCATTCACTTAATGACATTTGCTTAATGACTGCCAGAAACAAAAGTAGTAAAATTGGTCTGGTCACACGGAGAAAGCAATTAGGTTGGGAAGATTTAGTGGTAAAAGGAAACCAGGCTGCCAAAGAACTTTTGTAACTTATAATCAAAATTATGAGTTCTATTAACAGTCATAATAGCAACAGCACTTATATACTGCTTCACAGTGCTTCATATCCCACTCTAAGCAGTTTACAGAGTCAGCATATTGCCCTCAACAATTGGGTCATCATTTTACCAACCTCAGAAGGTTGGAAGGCTGAATCAAACTTGAGCCTGGTGAGATTTGAATTGCTAAATGAGTCCCCCCAGGGAAAAGGGCGGCCTATAAATGTCAAATAAATGACTAAATGACTAAAATGAGTCCCCCCAGGGAAAAGGGCGGCATACAAATAAAGTTAAAATCTAAATCTAAATCTAAATTGTAGGCAGCTGGCAGTCAGCAGATTAGCCTGCAGTACAACATTCTAACCACTGTGCCACCACAGTGAGTCAAGGAACTACTTGTACCTAGATATGAAACTAAACTGCTCAATATATACCACTTCCCAAATTTAAGAGGAAAAGAAGGCAGTGCGGTTCTCTGGTGATGCATCCATATGTCCCTTGACTCTCTGCAGTGGTTTTATTTCCACTTTGTACTATGCAATTTCACTGGAGAAAGCAATTATGTTGGGAAGAATTCGTAGTGAAAGGAAACCAGGCTGCCAAAGAACATGATGGCTGGACACCATTAAAACTGACATGAAAGCCAGAGAATAGAACAACTCAAAGGACTAGTGCAACATCGGAAGATGTGGAGAGACCTGGCCCATAGAGTCAAGAGTTGAACTTGACTGAATGGATATCATCATCATCATCAACAACAACAACAACAACATTGCCACTCTGCAGTTACAGGAAAAGCACAGCTCTACAGAGTTACCAAGTGCTGCCTAAATGCAGTGTAAATCTCTTCTATTCTTATCCAAACTAAGGATGCAAGGGAGATATACCTAATAGCAGAACATCGCATATGCCAAGGGTGGTGATTTGCAATTGGTGAAAGATCTCAACATCCATCCTCCGTTCCAGATAGAATGGCTTTATTGGAAAGCAATAAAATTGAATCACGAGGCCTAGTTTCTGGCTTTTACATAGAGAAGGCTTTGTACAACTGCTAGATAAGTAATGGCCACTTCCTTGTGCTTTCAAAATAAATCACTTAGCTTAACCTGTACAGCGTTGATACTCCACAGATCTAGGTAGTTAATTGGCTACAGTCAAACATTTAGGACTTGACTTTGAAGTTTAAATTAGAAATTTCCTGGCGAAGATATGTCTCATCAAGTTTTAATTTCAGTTTGGGTCTTGCCAGAAATCTACGTCTCTACTATTGCACATCAACTACCAAGAGAAAGACAAGCACCGTGACAAGAATTCTGCTTCGAAACACGTTGAGTAGTGAATTTGACAAGTTTTGAAGCAGTCAAATAATAGGTATGACATTACTGGGGTTATACTGAAAGCTGAAGCAAATGTTTCTAACTGCCTTCTAGAAGTCACAGTGAAGGGAAATCTGGACTGCAGATGTAACGCTAAACTTTGACTTAGCCCTGCATCTCAATGCAACCACTGACTCAACTTGCAAATTAAGCTGAGAGGCATCCATCAGATTTCTGCTTTGAATTCTTTCAAGATGTTTACAAATTAGGGACAAACCTTTCAGGAAAGAAGGAAACATCTGGGGGAGAATTTCCAGATGCTGTTTCTTTTTCCCACCATCTCTTTCCCTAGGGCAATACTTCTTTATCAGGAAAACGTTAAGCCAAAAAGCTTTTTTTTGCTTGTTGGTTTTAGGTTTTTTTTTTAATGCAAAACAATTGTCATCATCTACAGAAATTGCAGCATATCTTTATTACTTTATGCAATTTTAGCGTTATGTGCAATGTACATCTGCATGCAAGGCTTTGTGCAAAACATATATGCACATACCAATATACGTATTCTGTATTTACATGTATGTAATTACACAGAGCCGCCGTTTTTCTGAATTAAATTAAACGAACAAACAAACAAATCACTGTAACTCCAAAATAATCGAACTCCCATTCCTAGATGCAAAAATTACATTGATATTACATTGTTAGGTTGCATAAGTTATTTTTTAACAGTTGCCTAAAACTATAATATTACAGATTGTCCCCAATCTCTGACCGTAATCACATTAAGCAGGTCACCGTGTGTCTACACCTGACTTTACAACCTTTTTTGTGATGGTTGTTAAATGAATGTGGTAGTCGTTAAGCAAACCCATTGTTTGCACTGGGGTTTGTTAGGTTTTTTTTTTGTCAGAAACTGGAAATAAATGCCCTAAATTGCAGTGAGGTGGCTATGGGACATTGCAAATACTGAATATTGGTCATTTGCTAAGCATTCAAAATGCAATCACATGACTACAGAGGGAGGGAGGGAGGGAGGGAGGGAGGAACAGCCGTCAGAACGTTGAATCAGGGTCATACGTAGCTCTGGGGAGAACTGTTGTAACAGTTGCTAAATGACCAGTTGTTGACTGAGGACTACTACAGCTAGTAGGAGAAGTCATCAGTTTAGAGTCCTTNTCTGTTCCTGACTTCTTGCCAAGTAATTGCTGCTACGGGGGGGGTGGGGGTGGTTGGAAGATATCAGCCTGGCAGCTCTCTAAGCTTGATAAAGGTCTGTAGTTGTGAAATCTCTTGAAAGACCGTTTGCTGGGACTTTGCTGGAGAGGAATTCCCTTTAACCTAAATAAAAGAGGTTTTATTGGGCCGAGGAGTCTGCTTCATGCTCTTGGGAAACCTAGGTCAGAACACCTGTTTGCCACTAATTCCATTTTGCAGCTAGGTGAGAACTTGTGTATCACTAAGAAAGACCTAACTGAAGATTGAGGATTGAAGGATAAATGGGGCGTATTCAGAGCCAGAATGGGGCGAACCAACCCGCTTGACCCATACCTCTGTAACAGAGATCCATAATTTATGTGGATTTGTATGGCTTGTCAATTGCCAAATTCCAAAAATAAAGAGATCACGGTATGTACTGAGAGAATGTCTCAAGAGCTTTGAGGAAAAAAATAGGCGGTTTAATTAAGACCTTCACTTTGACTCTTGAAATGCCCCCAAGCCACTAAAAGCAAGAACCACATCAACTTCATTAGACACTCCAAAAACAGAGACAGTTCTCCAGGAGAATTTTGTTTAGACTTTTTTTAAAATCCTACCTTTATTATTTTTATAAATCACTCAAGGCAGCAAAAATATCTAATACTCTTTCCCTTGTCTTATTTTCCTCACAAGAACAATCCTTGCTAACTGATAGTGACTGGACTAAAGATATTAATCTGGCTTTCATGGCTAAGGCGGGACTAGAACAGGGGCAGGCACTACTGCTGGTTCACTCGTGGGTGCGCTGCGTGCGCATGCGCAGTGCAATAAAAATTGTTCTGCACATGTGCAGAAGCGAAAAATAAGATGGCGGCGGCATAAGAGAACCGGTTCGGGGATGGGCAGGCCTGGATCACTGCCAGTTCCAGTGACCTAGGCCGCCAAACCACTACCGGTTCAGCCGAACCGGTCTGAACCGGTAGGAACCCACCACTGGACTAGAACTCACGGTCTCCTGAGTTCTAGCCTGTTGCCTTCCCCATTAGACCAAACTGGTTCTCATTTGTGGGGTATTTGATTTTTTTTTCATTTTTTTGCACATTGGCAATTTGCAGAGTTGTAATAATTTAAAATTAACTTAAAGAAAACAAAACAAAACAACATATAAATACAAGAGGCCTAAAATATTAAATACTGAAGGAGAATCCCAGGAGAAAACTATTCTGCCAGAATGTAAAACAGAGTGGTATAAAATCGTGTAAACATTTAGACAGCTGCCAAATTGCTCTCCTTCTTTCTAGACAAGTTAAACAACAGTTGTCTTATTTCTCTCTTTTGCAATGATATAAGCTTGAAACAGAATTTGGCAGCTTTGAAAGTGACATCATTTTTAACAGTGTGAGAAGAAATGAAATTAAGAATCTGTTTATCAGAGGACTCAGCCAAAGAAAAAAATTGAGGCCACAAAAGGGACACTAATAAACCATACAAAGCTTCTAGATCATTTTTTTTCTTGTATATTTGCTCTACAAATTTGAATCCTCATAAATTTGGGAGCAATATTGAGAAGACAAGTTCTTTTATATTTAAAATATTTTTAAAGATTTTTCTGAAGGTACTTCTTCCAAAAAAGTAACTGGATTTTCTTGGGGTTTTTTTCCTTGGAAAATGTTTCACGTGTCATTTTATCCATTCTTGGATAAGAAATGAAATGTTTTCAAAGGGAAAATAAAACCCAATAAATTCTAGTTGCCTTTTGGAAAAGCACCTTTGGGATCACAATGACGTGGATGATTGAGAATCTCCACATATATATGTATTTTAAAGATCTTTTTGAAGCATATTTCAGCAAGTGCCTCACCTTATGGAAACTCCCATAAAATATTTTCTTTATGTCAGGTCCTTCAAAGGTTACCGTCTGGAATTCCCCTTTGTAGTCATAATTGAAGAAAGTCAAGGTTTTGCCATCATCTGCACAGTGTACGAGAGAATAAGGTTCAGAGAACTGTGTACATTTTCTTTTAAAGATTATATATATGTATGTATGTATGTATGTATGTATGTATGTATGTATGTATGTATGTATGTNGAGGGAGGGAGGGAGGGAGGGAGGAACAGCCGTCAGAACGTTGAATCAGGGTCATACGTAGCTCTGGGGAGAACTGTTGTAACAGTTGCTAAATGACCAGTTGTTGACTGAGGACTACTACAGCTAGTAGGAGAAGTCATCAGTTTAGAGTCCTTGCATTGCCACAAGACATCCAAATCCTGCCCCTCTTAAATCCCGTGACTCTTATCTAGCAGCAATTTAGTGCTGACTGTTAGTTGACCAAATTCTTGAACAAGGATGTCCAAACGTGGCAACTTTAAGACTTTGGGACTTCAGCTCCCAGAATTCCCTAGCCATCATGGCTGGTTGAGAAATTCTGGGAGTTAAAGTCTACAAGTCTTAAAGTTGCCACGTTTGGAGATCCCTGTTCTTGTGCATAGGCTGTAATAATAAACTTTCTGTGCTTGGACTTAGTGAAGGATCCTGATTCTTGTGCCTGACAATAGCCTTATCTTCAGTACGTACTTGGTTGGCTGAGAGACCAAAGCATCCTTATGCAGTCCATAACAGTGGTAGGCATTAAATGTTCCAGGTTCCATAGACACTCCTTCCACAGCTGCAAACTCTTTGTCAACCAAGCCGAACATGTCCATCATTTTAAATCCTAGAAACCAAAACAGAGGAATATGTGTGTCATCTCTATTTCTTAATTGGAATGGGAAGTTAAATATGAGTTATGTAGTGAAGAGTTTAGCAACTCAGGCACTGCTAATTCTTACTATCTGACAATTACTTGATAATTGCACAACTAAACAAACAAGACCCGTATGCTTTCGATTTCCATTGTACAGGAAGTAAAGGTAAAGGTAAAGGTTCCCCTTGCAAATATGTGCTAGTCATTCCCGACTCTAGGGGATGGTGCTCCTCTCCGTTTCAAAGCTGAAGAGCTAGCGCTGTCCAAAGATGTCTCCATGGTCATGTGGCCAGCATGACTAAATGCCGAAGGCGCATGGAACGCTGTTACCTTCCCACCAAAGGTGGTTCCTATTTTTCTACTNTTTCCATCATTCCAAAGACTCCCTTGCGGTCCACATCTCCTGGTTTGAAAGAATCTGCAGGAGAAAAGTCCTCATTTCTAAATTGTGAGAAACCTAGAATGCTGTGGACTGCTACAGACAGGGCTGTAGAGAAGAACCCCCCCACACACACACACCTCTTGGTCACCTGTTCACCCAAATATCAGACTTAAGCAATGAGAATTTCATGAACGTTTTATTTTCCACTGAAATATATGAGAAGAACATGCTCTCTTTCATCAGACTGCAGAAGACATTTTCATCCAAGCACCAAGAATGGGAAACAGAAGGATCGAGATGACAAGTGGGGATTGAAGCATAACCTCTGAAGCAGGGGTGGGTTCTGGCAGTCACTACTGCTGGTTCACTCGTGGGCATGCCGCACGTGCGCAGTGCAATAAAAATTGTTTTGCGCATGCGCAGAAGCAAAAAACAAGATGGTGTTGCCTATGGCACCGCCCAGAGAAATGATTTGGGGGCATGGCAGTCCTGGGTCGCTGTCAGTTCCAGTGATCCAGGCCACCAAATACTACCGGTTCAGCCAAACCAGGCCAAACCAGTAGGAACCCACCACTGCTCTGAAGTCCTTCAAAGATTTTGGAGACAGGAACCTCAGAATCATACTTTAGCCGCATTACTCTTCTCTCTATAGATTGTGGACTCCTCACTGATCACAATTTACGACAGACATTTGTGTTTGCACAACATGCTTAACTAAGAAAGTTAGGAAAAGAGTTAACAATTACCAGGTTTCAAATATCCATAATGGTAAAACTATTCCAAAGAATAGAACTGACCACTTCTTAGTAATCAAATAGAGATGTATTAAAATGGATCTGATTTTTAAACGGCGAACTTCCACTTTTTGTGGATGTTTTCTGAAAAAGTATCCAAGTGAGACCCTCATTCTTTGTGTTATACGCAGATTATAACTCCTTACCAAAGCAAATGATTACTAAAGTAATCTGTGAAATATGATCCATGGAAATAAAGATTCCAAAAAACCTCAAGGTTCTTACATGTTTTGGCAACACCTGTTAAGGCTTCACTAAATCCAGTTGTGTAAGAAGCAAATACTTTAACATTATACTCTGTTCCACTAAGCAAATTCAAGATAAGGATAGTGTTGACTTCATCACCCACAAAGGTTTCAAGTGCTGGTCCAGAAACTGAAAGAAACAAGAGAGGGATTTGATCAACATGGTCCGTCCCCCCACCAAAAAAACCCACTGCATTTGGGTTAAAGATGCTGGGAAGTTCCATTATAACTTTCTGATACACAAAAGTGATCCTTAATTTGAAAGCAGGAATACCTAGCAAGAGGCCTATAATGATACAATAAATAAATTTGATATATAAATATGATCTATTATGTATTTATTTTTTTGTTTAATATTTGTTGTAATATTATCCCACCTATTTATTTGTAAATAATTCGAGGCAGTGAACTTACACAATCCACCTTCCTCCTCCTATTTTCCCACAACAACAACCCTGTGAAGTGGGTGGGGGGCTGAGGGTAAATGACTGGCTCATAATTATCCAGTTCTGGTGATGTCGCTGCGAGATCAATGCAGGGGAGTGGGGCTCTGCATCCAGATACCGATTCCTCTTCATCGAGGGCCCCCCAAGGGGCTAAAGTCACCCCATAGGGGGTGACACACAAAGGAAGGGCACCCTGCAGGTCACGGAGAGCAGCAGCTCCTGCGCTGGACTCAGGGTTTCTTCCAGTGGTGGGTTGCAGGTGGTACGCCCCAGTACGGGCGTACCAGAGCCTGGCAGGAGCACCAGATACTGTTCCGCTCGCCCGAGCTCCTAACCAGTCTTTTAGGTCTTCAGCGCTTCCATGCACAGCACGTACAGCACCTGCACGATGCTCTGCTGAGCAGCTGGAGCATCACAGAGGCTCACGGAGGCGCTAAGACACATGTGCGCACTGCACACGTCCATGTGGATGCCACCGGGCCTGGGATCCGGAACCCACTACTGGTTTCTTCCCTCCTTGCCAAAGATGAAGACAAGGCAGTCATCATGACTGCCATGAAGCTGGGACACCAAAGAAACTAAGATTGTACTGGAGCAGTGTGATTATCCAGTTGGCTTCCATATCCAAGGCAAGACTAGAATGCATAATCTCCTGGTGATTGGCTCAAAGTTATCCAGCTGGCCTTATGCCCAAGGCAGAACTAGAACTCACAGCCTCCTGGTGATTGGTCCAAAGTCACTCAGACAGCTTTCATATTTAAGGCAGTATTAGAACTCACAATATTCTGGTTTCTAAGACAGCATTTTAACCATTACAACAAACTGGCTTTTTCATGTCTATTCACAGATCATTTGTTTATTTTACACACTCTAATCTCTGAACTTCCGGGGAAAAAAGAGAAACATTTTTTAAATATTTCTTTGTTTAGGAGAGCTGCAAAAAGTTGACTCTTCTTGCAAGCTTTTGCTGAGGGCGAGGGAGACCCTTTTTCATCATGCTTGCGAGTTTTATGTTTTATTTATTTCATTGTAATTTCTTGGATTGTCGTGGGTTGCCAGAATCATTGAATATTGGGCGGTGTGCAAGTTTAATAAATTATTATTTCCTCTTTCAATTGTTTTTCTACACCCTCAAAAATCCAGCAGCTTTTCCCCCAATTACAAGAAGAAAATGTATCTTGTATCTTATCTGTATAGAGAAGAATAATTTGGTGAGAATTATGAAGGAACATTATTTACACAAAGTATAACTTAGCTATACAATATATAAATATATCAGACAGGCAAATATTTCAAGCACTCACTATTCACAGGTTTATATACAATCCTATACCCCATCGTGGGGGATCGAGGCGCATCCCAGCTAATCCTTAATCGGTTGTACCATTCATCAGAGACTTTTAGATTTTGTGGAGGAGAAAGAGGCACTAAGATGGGAAAGAAGCACATTGTAAGTTATATTTTTTTCTCAAAACGTCTCAGAGAAACAGCTTAATTAAATACAAGCAGTTGCTAATATTTGAGCCTTTAAAACTTTGTACTCACAAGTTTTTCCTGGAGCTGACAAACTAACTCCTTCTCCATCAGCATAGATTGGGGTGACCATAATTTTGTATTCAGTGTCTGAGAGCAAAGGCTGAAGAAGCACATTGTTTTGCCTCACAGGTACTGTAACCTGGATGGAAGAAACATTAAAAACAAATATTACAACTGCATCGTATGATGTCTTTCAGGCTTGACTATAATAAACAAAAAACAAAAAAAGAGCAGAGAACACAAAGTAACTTTGTGTTCATGCATACAGGATTAACAGTAAGAGAGTTGGAAGGGACCTTGGAGGTTATCTAGTCAGACCCCTGTTGGTCATCTAGCCCAAGCACTGTTTCTAGTGTCTTTGGAACTGAACCAGTGGTGGGATTCAAATAATTTAACAACCGGTTCTCTGCCTTAATGATTTCTTCCAACAACCAATTTACCAAACTGCTCAGAAACTTAACAACCGGTTCTCCCAAAGTGGTGCGAACTAGCTGAATCCCACCACTGAACTGAACCTAGAAGGACATTTCTTCCAACGAAGTATTTTGCATATCCGCCCCACTCCTTTAATTTCCATAAGATTCTTATCTTCTGAACAGTGGATATAACATATCCCTCCTGCATTCACAAGTAATTATGTTGAGAGGAAAACAGACTGTAATGAAAGTATGCTATGAAATTATCCTGATATTCACAGGAGGAGAGAAAAAAATCACTTTATGCAATGACTTCCCGGGTCATTTATTTATTGAACATACTTCCTAGAGATTTGAATTGACTTTAACCTGCCTCCTATGCCCCCAAAATCCAAAGATTTGAAACAGCCACCAAGAAAATGCAACTTTTCTTGTTGGCATCAGATAAGGGAGGTGGAGCTGAGGAAAAAGGCCTCTCTCCCAGATAGTAAAACTGGGCAGGTTCTGATGAAACAATGCTTCTTTCAAATAGTTGTAAGAGGGCTTCACATGTGTAACCTTTTTGAATGGTGTCCAGAAAATAAGTGAGGGACCAGTGAAGCTGCTGTAAGACAGAACCGATGGGCTGAGAAGATTGAATCAACAGCTTGGCCAGAATTCAAAATCATTTTATGGTGTGAAAGATGAAATGCTTTCATCTATTTATTTCATGTCTCCATCAGAGAGTTCTCAAGGTGGATAGCAACCATTTGTGAAGTATTAAATCAACAGATGAAAGCAGAATGGACTTTTGGTTCATAATGATTTCTCCTCTAAGCCACTAACATTTTTTTTCTATCCCCATTGTCCCTATTTCAAAACAAGTCCCTCTTTTTTTTCCAGATTTCTTCTTAAGGCCATGGGGTTTGGGTTTAACTCCGTTATGGTGAAATGTGGCACACAGTGCCCTCCCTGCAAATGACGAAACAGAAGCTCACAAAAGAAAAAGATCTTGCTGTGCTATCAGTGTTGGGATGCCCCACCTCCCACAGGCTATCTGGTCTTTGGGTCTCTGCTGCGCATGGGTGCACCTCCGCACATGTGCTCATTTGTCCGTGTGTCTGCGTGTGCATGCATTTGCACGCACATGTGCACATACCATTACAGTTTGGGCATGTGTAGGTGCAGTTTGGGCACTCGGTGTCTAAAAGGTTTAACCCATTAGTCCTCACGTCTAAACAACCCAGAATTAGTAGGCATAATGTTATGCAATCACATTCATTACTAGCAAATTTGGTCGCGGTGGGGTTGCAAACTGGGAATTCTGGGAGTTGAAGTCCACTCTTCTTCAAGTGGACTGCAAGCGCAAGATTTTTCATTTGGAGAACCATGATGCAAATTGGGTCAGATCTATGATGGGTGGCACAGTAAGTGTCAGCTCACCATGCTCTCCATGTGAATGGAGAATCCCACACCTCCTGCTTGCAGGAAGAAAAAAGGGTTTGTTGAACTTTGTGTCCAGTAAAGGGCACAAGACACCTCCCCATCATCCATTTGGAACATAGCAGAAGAAAAGTCCTCCTCAACTTTTCATATCAATCCTTTGATTTACAGATTAACAGAGTTGGAAGGGACCTTGTAGGTCATCTAGTCCAACCCTCTGCCCAAGCAGGAGACCCTACACTATTTCTGACAGATGGCGGTCCAGTCTCTTCTTGAAAGCTTCCAGTAATGAAACTCCCACAACATCTGAAGGCAAGCTGCTCCATCAGATGATTGTTCTCACTGTCAGAAAACCTCTCCTTATTTCCAGGTTGAATCTCTCCCTGATCAGTTTCCACCCATTGCTTCTTGTTCTACCCTCAGGTGCCTTGGAGAATAGTTTGACTCCTTCTTCTTTGTGGCAACCCCTGAGATATTGGAACACTGCTATCATGTCCCCCCTAGTCCTTCTTTTCCTTAAACTAGAGATACCCAGTTCCTGCAACTGTTTTTCATATATTTTAGCCTCCAGCCTCCTAATCATCTTNTATCTATCTATCTATCTATCTATCTATCTATCTATCTATCTATCTATCTATCTATCTATCTATCTATCTAAATGGTTGTGTGTGTGTGCATGTATGTGTATGTTTCAGCATAACTCTGGAACGCCTCAAGCAATTTTAACCAAACTTGCTACACAGATGTCTTACTCTCTAGAAACAAATACTGTGGGTGTAAGATACCCCTAACACTCCTTGGGCTGTGTGTTCTGTTAGGATACAGCCTGTTGTGCCTTAAAATGGCTTCTACTGTACTGCTTTAAAATGGATTCTACTATTCAGCACAGTGGAGTTGCCATGGTAATGGCTTCACGGCACTCCACAAGGGGACTCCCTTCTGGTAAGGGGAAAAATCCAACATTAGAAATTGCATTTGGTCCGGACATTTCCCCCCTCTAAATAAATACCCGGGGAAACGCAGGGTTATCAACACTAGTTTCCTATACACTTTAGATAGATCTTGGGTCTATTGATTCTTCACCTTATTGAAATAAACACAGCGATGTTGCATTTGTTGTGATCAATGGAACACCTCCATCTCTTTTGAAAATCCAATCCACATTTGGAAAGCTTCACAAACAAAGTCATCACTGCTCTGTGGCTGCAGCTTGAGGGGAAGCAGATGTTTGAAAACTAGCAGGCATGTCTTTCTTTTGTGCAGCTGAGACAGGCAAGCAATCTCCGCACTGTTACTCCCTTTGGCATTCAAGAGCTCATGATGACAGTGCTGTATGAATTGTAGTCATTACAATTCTACTTACGACTGTCATGGAGCCCAGAATTTCCATTGTAAGTTATGAGGGTCAATAAGTTGTGATACTCCAAACTTGATTTTATGGGCTTTTTTGAAGCAGCCATTAAGTGAATGCCGGTCACTAAATGAACATGGCAATCGTTAAGCGAACAACTGATGGTTGAGCAAATCTGTATTCCTGGGAATTTTTGCTGGAAACTGGCTTTAAAAAGGCTGGAAGCCAGGAAAATATGTCATTAATCATGATCATGCCACCGTAGAATGCTGCAAATAGCCATAAAGATAATCCAGTTGCCAAAGACTCCAAAGGAATCCATCTGAGCACAGGTATTTGTGCAGTAATCAGAAGTCTGGAATTGGGTTTTAAGTAGCTTTTGGGTGGTCCTTCATATCTTCAAACAGTTTCTAAGTGACTGGTCGTTAATCAAGGACTATCTATATTATATTGGGTGCTTTATTACTACAATGTATGGTAGAAACAGAAGGGTGAATGTCATGTATTAAATAGTATACAGACATGATAGAAACAAAAATGGTTTGTTATTATATTATAGCCAAAATAATATAGCTACCGGTAATGTTATATAGATACATACCTACACTAAAATGAATCAGAATGCCTTCTTTATATTTGTTTTTTTTCTAAAATTGCTCAGTTTTTTTTCTTTTATTCTCTTTTTTACTTAAAAATTGACCATCATCATTGTCAAACGAATTGTCCAGCCAATTCTGTCCTCCCAAGTTTTTTTTAAATACTCCTTTTTTCGGAGTATAAGATGCACCAAGATTTTGAAGAGGGAAAAAAGTTTTTGCACTCTGCAGATCTCCTAAAAACAGCCCATTTTTCACAAAAAAATGCCATTTTTTAATCAAAAAAAGGACATGCATAGCCTTTAAGAGGCTTATAGAGTGCTCCTGGGGGCTGGGGGGGGGCAAAAACGAGCAAAAATGGCCAATTTTTCACTCATTTCTGCCCTCCCCAGCCCTCAGAAGCACTCTGGAAACCTCCTAAAGGCTGTGCACAGCCATATTGGTGAAGGGGTGGGGTTTCGGGAGGTCAAAAAATGCTGTATTCAGTGTATAAGATGCACCCAGATTTTCAGCCTCTTTTTTAAGGGAAAAAGGTGCGTCTTATACTCCAAAAATACAGTACATTCTCAATGGGTTTCATCTTACCATAAATAAAAGTATTCTATCCAACTTGGTGAAGTAGTTTTTAAATGATGGGACCAGTTTCTTACTTTCTACACATTGTATGTGCTTTATTGACTTAATTATAGTAGTACGTTTGAAATTGTTATTAGCTATTTTGAGCACCATCCAAATTGTGTATAAATGCAACATACACTTCTATAATGCTACCGTCAAGTGCGCACTTATCTGGGAGAAAGCATTAAACTTAATGGGACTAAGTCTAAGTACACACAAAGAGAAATGAATGAGATGTTGTACACTATCATTCTGAAGATCACATTAGCAAAATGCTTTTTTTTTTAAAATGGGGCAATAGGCAGGAAGAGAAAAAAAACAACTGCTAACTTGCAGAGGCTGTTTCACAGACAAAAGTGATCAGTTCATCTTCAATCTTCTTGAAGGCATCAAAGTCATCCACAAAGAACACATGTCTGTCACTCGGCTTGCTGCCAATGTTAACCAGTTCTGCATAATCAGCATCTGCAACTCCAATGGCAAATATGCTGAATCCTGGGGAAGGAAGGAAGGAAGGGAGGGAGGGAGGGAGGGAGGAAACATTCCTGGGATCAGTCAATTGGTAAATATATAAATAAAAGTTGAATATATATTTTATTAATCTAGTTGAGGCTTCCTCAGCCCATCTCTTCCAAATGTGGTAGACTAGGCAATTCCTTTAAGACATGGGTGTCCAATCTTGGCAACTTTAAGACTTGTGGACTTCAATTCCCAGAATTCCTCAGCCAAGCTGGAAATTCTAGGAGTTGAAGTCCACAAGTTTTAACGTAGCCAACACTGGACACCCTGATCTAAGAGAATGGTGGGTATTTATAGTTCAATACTATAAATTGAACGGAAGGCAGATCGGAGAAGATTGCTCCAGCTACTTCTTGGGCCAAACCTAATTTTCTCCAAGGGCCAGAAAAGGTCATAAATAACTTCCTTGCTCTTATCAACACTGTTTATTCTTTCTGCATATTCAGAAAAAAAGATTGGTTTTGGCATCTTATTTCCTTTGGCTGGCCAAGTTTATTTTAGAAACAGAAATGACCCATATCTGAGTCAAGTGGATAAAGAAGCATATTTCCTTTATTTCTCTCAATAACACATTATCTAACACTAATATTTACCCTGCCAGGCATACCACTGTTGTAAACTGAAGTATTTTAGGAGTGAAATAACAGGAGTTCAAGCCCCAACTAAACTTGATTCCACCAGGTTGAAGAAGCCGATGGTGAATATTAGTTTGGAAGCTAATTCTGTGGAAGGTTTGCTTCTGAGAAACATGCCAGATATGTGTTTGTGGCATTTAAGTGTCCAATTAGCTAACAGATATGCAAAGAATTGGGGATCACACATAAAGGTTCCCCTCGCACATATGTGCTAGTCATTCCCGACTCTAGAGGGTGGTGGTCATCTCCATTTCAAAGCCGAAGAGCCAGTGCTGTCCGAAGACATCTCCTTGGTCATGTGGCTGGGATGAGTAAACGGCAAAGGTGCATGGAACGTTGTTACCTTCCCACGAAAGGTGGTCCCTATTTTTCTACTTGCATTTTTACATGCTTCGGAACTGCTAGATTGGCAGAAGCTGGGACAAGTAATGGGAGCTCACTCTGTTACGCAGCACTAGGGATTCGAACCGCCGAACTGCCGACCTTTCTGATCAACAAGCTCAGTGTCTTAGCCATACTACACCATTATTTGCTCAATCATGATTTATTGAATAAACTATAACTGGCTAAGTTCACAAAAATATGTTAACAGAGTCATCTATTTATTTACCATAGGAAGGCCAGGCACATGTGTATCAAACTGATGACATTGTGAAGGTTTCCTAAGAAAATGAATCCTTACCATCTAGTTGCATCTCTCTGGAAACGTGGTTCACATCATCTTGAGATCGTCCATCTGTGATCACTACTAAAACTTTTGGGATCCCCTTCCTGGTCCCAGACTCCAAGGTAAATAAGATCTGTTGAGCATGTTTAATTGCTCTGCCTGGGAAGGAAGGAAGGGAGGGAGGGAGGGAGGGAGGGAGGGAGGAAAAAGAAAGAAAGAAGGTGGGAGGTAGAAAGGGAGAGAGAAAGGAAGGAAGGAAGGTAGGAAGGAAAGAAAGAAAGAAAGAAAGAAAGAAAGAAAGAAAGAAAGAAAGAAAGAAAGAANGCCAGCATGACTAAATGCCGAAGGCGCATGGAACGCTGTTACCTTCCCACCAAAGGTGGTTCCTATTTTTCTACTTGCATTTTTACATGCTTTCACATTGCTAGGTTGGCAGAAGCTGGGACAACTAACAAGAGCTCACTCCGTTACGTGGCGTTAGGGATTCGAATCGCCGAACTGCCGACCCTTCTGATCGACAAGCTCAGTGTCTTAGCCCCTGAGCCACTCAGTGGACAGAAAGTAGAAGCTAATTAAGGAAAGATGGTACAGATATTCCTAGACTTACAACTATTTCTTTAGTGACCGTTCAAAGTTACAACGGCACTGAAAAAAGTCATTTATAACTGTTTTTCATGCTTACAACCATTGTGGGATCCCCATGGTCACATAATCAAAATTCAGGGTTCACGTTAATTTTGCTTAAATTCTTTAACAATGGTCTCCAAATATAACTTCCTCGCCCCATTTATGGTGCAGTGAAGGGGCCAATGTAGAATGTAATATTACTAAGTTATTGTTAATTATTTACATTTGGTATAGCCGTTCCGGTGAACTCTGGGTGGCTTGCAAAATCCAAAAGCAGTAAAACAGTTAAAAGCACACAACGCACAAAACTACTAACACAATAACAAAAAACACTCCAAGATCTCATACATAACACAGAATATTAAGATGAATCCCTCTCCATAGCTATCATCTTTAAACTGTAACTATTGCAAGGAAATACAGTATGTACATATTACAATATCCACTCATTGCTTATCAGATGAAAAAGGGACACTTAATAACAACATACCTGCTAAACTATTGCCCTCTTTATACACCAGGGGACAAGCTGTAAAAAGGAAGAAAACAAATTAGCTCTCAGAAGAAAGAGTCATAATGCCAAGTGCATTATATTTTTTATGAAAACTGTATCAACAGCAAGAAATTAAAACATGCTAAAGCCTGTAAACAGGATTTTTTAAGTGTCAAAAATTGATCAAGCATTCCTTTTGCCAAGTTTCTTGCACTGTCCTATCTATCATCTATTTATCTATTTATCTATTTATCTATTTATCTATTTATCTATTTATCTATTTATCTATTTATCTATTTATCTATTTATCTAT